TTGTATTATGTATCAAATCCTTTAGTTGACTCTGAATATCCCCGTGATGATGGTTTTTCTTGTCCAATCATCTTGAACTCATTTTCACAATTACTCGGGTATAATTTGGAGACTGCTTAAAGAAATCCAATCATCATATCATATATTCGTTCAACCAAAAATGGTGATTTATTTCTCATGATGGTCTTTTTTTTTTCAACAAGACATGCTATGTGTGAAAAACTTCGGTTTTTCTACATAAATTTTCAATAACATTATTACACTGAGATGGCTTAAACCAGTTTTGTTATATACTAGTAAACTTCAGGTTTACTATTGTAAATTGTTTTGCCATCTTTATGCATGTATCCATCAAATTTTTTTCTAGAATGTTTCGTTCTACTAGAACGTTTCATTTTGTTTTTCTAAAAAATCTAGCTCTTCTGAAGCATATTGCGTAGTGGGAGCATTTCGCTCTTCAAGAACGTTTGTCTTAACTAAAATATCTAGCTCTTCAGGAGCTTCTAACTCTTTCAGAGTTTTTAATTCATGAAACTTTCACAGCTCCTAATTCTTTCGGAGCTTTTAACTTTTGAAATTTCCGGAGCTTTTTCACTCTTCTGGATTTTTTTAACTCATGAAGTTTCCAAGAATTTTTAACTGCAGGAACTTTTTATTCAGAGCTTTTTAACTCTTCTGGAGTTTTCAGTTTTCCGGAGCTTCTTAACTCTTCTGGACTTTTTTAACTCGCGAAGCTTCCAGAACTTTTAGCTCTTCAAGAACTTTTTGGTTCTGAAGCTTTTTAGCTTTTTTGGAAGTTCGGACTTTTAAAGACATATTTCAATGTCTATAACCATATTGTAATCGACAAAATAAATTAAATAGTTAAATATAAATAAATAACAAAATATAAATAAATAACGAAACAGATGAAATTTAAAAAATAGTTAGCATATATGTTAATCATCTTCTGGACGAAAGTTATTAAGCAGTTCTTCAGGAACACTTGCATATATATATATTTTCTGGATATATTTTTTATAAGCATAACCTATCATAAACAATCGGTTTCAATTAAACATAAACATAAATGAATTAAATATAAATTAAATCTCATCTATTTGGTATAAAAACAGATCTCACCTTTTTGGTATTAAATCGGATAGCGAAACAATCGTGCTGATATATATTATAACCAATAACCATATATAAGGTGAGATATGTGGGTTATATATATATATATATATTATATAAGAGATTTGAGAGAGAGACGAGAAGGTAAGTGGAAAGAGAGCAAGGGGAGGAGAAAATGATTTTGATTCTTATTATCTCCTCTCTTTCATCTTACATCCATTTACAAGGTGCAATCATATATATAGAAGAAAGAAATATATAAAAAAATGGAAGAGTAAGTCGGTAAAAGCAAGGAGGCGGTGGAGAATAATTATCTTCTAACAATTATGTTATAGGCCGTGTAGAGCGAAGCTTTTAGATGAAAGTAACTATAGATTGTTACGTTTCTTAAATGAAAGATTATATATAATTTTTTACAAATTGCAAAATAAATATATTCTTATAAATTTTTATATCCTTTTTAATGATGATACATTTTCTGTTACCGAAAATATTCATTATGTTTAATCGTACCACGTAAATGAAATATACTATGTACTGATTTTTTGGATTTATTATTCATGACTTAAGGAGGATAGAGAATGATATAATTTAGATCCAGAATTTCAGAGAAGAAACATAATTTCTGTACAAAATTTTAGAGAAGAGATAAAACAAAAATAACTCTGAATTAAATAAAATCAGCAACTTTGATGAGTTCTTTTTTGAAAATTAAAATCAAACCAGAAAAAATTTATATTGCAGAACCCAGTAAAAATAAGAAGAAACAGAGAATACCCAAATGCATTATAGCATCGGTGAAATTCGCGCGAGAAAGTTAAAAGAAAAAGAAATCCTTGGAGCTTGGAGCAGTAACTTTCAAAATTGGAGATTATCTTTTAGGGTTTTACAGTGACATTAAAAAAGAAGAAGAGAAGCTTTTTTTTTTTACAGGGAACAAAAGAGTGAAAAAAAAGAAAAGACAAATATAAGAGATGAGATCAGTGGATCGTGAGAGATAGAGAGAGTTAGAAGGTATAAGAGTGTAAAAAAATTACAAAATTAAGAAGAAGAAGAAGAAGAAGAAGAAGAAGAAGAAGAAGAAGAAGAAGAAGAAGAAGAAGAAGAAGAAGAAGAAGAAGAAGAAGAAGAATAAGATGACGAAGATGAAGATTTCCCCACCATGACGAAGAAGATCAAGAAGAAAAAAAGAAGAAACTAACGTTATTGAAAGAAAGGAAAGGAAACTAGAAAGAACAGGAGTTGGACGCTGATGAAGATGATGACGCGTGTGATCATGGAAGATGATGATTCTGAGTCACTTACCTTGGTTTATTTCTTACTCTTTGTTTTGATCCCCGGTACTTTTCGCATCTTTTGTTTCCAATTCAGTTTTCGTTCAGAGATTTTAGGGAATTAAGCTGTGTTCTCTGCCTGAGTTTGAGTTTCAGTTTCTTTGAGGTTTACTTCAATGCGTTTAGGGTTTTAAATTATGCTGTGTCGGATCC